TTGATAATCATCAATGACCTTCCTACGGCTATAGGCGAAACCTCTGTATTGTTTGCTGACGATGTATCTTTGCTTACATCATGTCATATATGACAAACTTCATGTCCTTGTGACTAAAACTACAGACTGGTTAAATGATCATAATCTCAAAATTAATTTCTCTAAATCTAATATAATGCCCTTCCATCCCCACCAAAAAACTTCATTAAACTAAAATTCGATTACAATGGTACAATTTTAGAATCAGTTAAGGAATTTAGATTGCTCTGTTTAAATATAGACACCCGCTTAAATTGGAAATCGCACATTCATAGTGTAAAGTCTAAGTTAGCAGGATTTTCATACGCACTGCGCGAAGTAAAAAGACAACAAACATAGAGACGGCAATAACAACCTACTATGCCTACGCGCACGCTTGGCTCAGTTACGGCATCATTCTGTGGGGTAACAGCACGGATGCAGCCTCTCTTTTCACCCTTCAAAAGAAGTTAATTAGAATAATAGCCAATATTGACCAGACTGATAGCTGTAGACCATATTTTCTTAAATATAAAATATTAACCCTGTCCAGTTTATATATTTTGGAAATAAGTAAATTTGTCAGGAAAAATAAACAATTTTATGAAAAACAAGAAGATATCCCATGTAAGTACTCTTTACGACGTAAAAATAAATTAGTATTGCCGACTTCACGATTAAAAATTAACTCCTCTAGTACCTACAGTTCTTCTATTAAAATTTATAATAAACTACCTGAAAATATAAAAAATGAAAACAATGACAACATTTTCATAAAAAAATTAAAACTATTTTTATCCGAAAAATGTTATTACACTATTAACGAATATTTAATAGATAATACATTCAGAGGCCACGCAAAATGATGATAAATATTAAGGTTGTTTTTAAATTAAATTTTATATCAATATAATATAGTATATAGTACCTATGATAAATAAGAATAGAATACTTACTATACCTATATAAAATACTACTATAAAATTGCGCTTCTTCTCTCCTAGCTCCTATGTTGCGTGCCCGACAGGGCCCATAATACTGGTCTCACTACATTTGTAACATCTTATTATGCTGATGATAATGGTGATCATGATGATGATGTTGATGGTGACGATGATGATATATTGATGTACAACAAAGTTTATATGATATTAACAAAATAGTTATTGAGATTTATTTATTAAATACATATAGATAGATAGGTGGTCTTACACGGATGAGAAAGATTTTGATACAAGAAGTTATATTAAAGTATTTGTTACATGTTAAATGATGTTAAATGTTCTTTTGTGAACGATAAAATGTGTATTGTAGGTAATAATAATTTCTCATTACTGTGCCGTCTTTCTCATTTAAGTTTATAAGAAAATCATTCGTGTTACTGCAATCTCATTCGTGTGACCAAAATATAACTTTTTGTTGTATTTAACTTAAATATTTCTGTGATTTTTTAATTACCTATTGACATTGCTTGAACTTATTTGTACATTTAAGACCTTGAAGCCAAAAGAAAAAAAGATTTACTAAAAACACTCAAAAAGTGCCATTGAAATTCGGAAAGTGAAATTCACCCTCACTAGGCTTGGACTTGGGCCAGTGTCAGTTCCGATTAATGTCGTCAGTCAATATTGATCAATAACGCCAACGTTTCGGTAGCAGCAAGAAGCAGCAAGATATTTATTTTTAAATGATTTTTTCGGCGGAATGCTGTTGTGGATATCAAACCTGGGGCAAACAACAGTGTGGGTAAAACATCACACTGTTTTAATGCCTAGTTATGTATAGTTACATACTCTGCTTTATCTATACACATATTATAAGCTCTCTATGATGTGTTCAGGGCCCTGATTTTAATTCAAATCGGAGTCGATCCGACCGGGCAGCCCACCCGCGATATCATCGCCTCGACTCGGAAAAGACGCAGTTTCCGACCGGGAGAGACAATAAAAATCAAGCTGCAGGAACCGCGTGTTCTGGCGAAATGACAGCAAACAAAAACTTTTCTCACGTATGCCACCTTTTTATTTAATTCATACACAAACTAGAGTCGGCCCCAACTATTATATCGTTGGATATCAAGTAACGTCTTCTTCTTCCTGTCCTTATCCCACGCTAGGTGGCGTCGACATAACATGTATTTTTCTTCCACTCTCCCCTATCAGCTGTCATTTTTATACTCACATCTTTCTTATCCATATCATCTTTCACACAATCCATCCATCTTTTCTTAGGCCTTCCTTTCCCCTTATATATAAATTTCATTCATTCATTCATTATCGCGTAACACATATACAAAAAAAGCATACAGTTGAATTGAGAACCTCCTCCTTTTTTTTGAAGTCGGTTAAAAATGGCCAAAAATATGTACAAGCGGCCGTACCATGAGACTGAATGCATTATACAAAAGTGCATTCGTTCGATATTCATTTTTTTATATGAAATATAAGTGCGCGTTTTACATCCATCTCACCTGATGGAAAGTGACGATGAGATCGACGATGGAGGCTGCACACCTAAATAATGCCTATTCACTCTCGCCTTGATAAGACCCAAGTTATAACGTTGAGGGAACAAATCTCCAGGCAGGGAATTTCACTCCATCGCCATTCGCCATATAAATGTGGAAGCGTAACGCTTCGTGCGAATCTTTGGAATATCCACAACATAGGGGTGGAACCCAAGCCTACGCCTAGTCCCCCGGTGATGGGAAGGGGAAGGCGGAATTAAATCGTGTAATTCCATCGCATACTCTCCGTGATATATCCTGTAAAATACCGATAAGCAGGCAACTTTATGGCGGTGTTCAAGGCTCTGCAGCTTCGCCTCCACTAATTCCAAGTCACCTATAAGCCTCTTGGCACGGTTGTCAATTGAATCCAAAGTGGCCTGTTGATATGTCGCAGAGCCATCCCAAAGGTGGCAGCAGTACTCCCCATGCACGATCGAACTTGTACTTGGTACAGCTGAAGCAACTGTCCCGGTATAAAGTAACGCCTCACCCTGGAAAGGATCCCAAGACTGGATTTACTCTCCACTGACCCTTACATTGGTCAAGTACCTATCTACAACTGTGCTGTCATCTGCATACGCAAAGGTACCTGGAATTAACATATCATTGATATGCAGTAGAAAGAGAGTTTTAGACAGGACGGAACTTTGAGGAACTCGGCATCTATCGCCATATGTTCGGAAGAGTAGCCTTCTAAGACCACTCGAATCTCACGTTCGCTCAAGAAATCCGAGATCCAATAGCAAAGGTCAGTGGGAAGCTCACATAACATGGAAGCTTGCTTAACATACTTGCGTGCCAGACCCTGTCAAAGGCTTTAGAAATGTCCAAAGACACTGCTTCGCCTTGCTTTTCTATCCTTGCCATTAGGGTCGTATTTCCAGTGCTTGAAATCATACTCAAGTCTGCTCATGTCAGGACTTGAATATGATTTAAAGCACTTGAAACCATACTCAAGTCCTTGCCATTAGAGTCGTATTTCCAGTGCTTGAAATCATACTCAAGTCCGGACTAGAGCATTGAGTAGAGTTCTGGAATACGACCCTGAGTATGGTTATTCCGATGGTCCTCACCACAAATTCGAAAGGTGTAGTCCTCACAAAGTCCTAAATAGTTAAAAAATTAGGTTAGAGTTAAGTTGTATAACTTTTCTTTCGTTTGAGACATTTTCTTTACAAGAAACAGTAGAACGGTTTCCTGGTTAGTGAAGGCAGAGTTCGCCACAAATGTTTAACAAGCAATATTGTTTTTAGTATAATATAATCTATATATTATAGGAGTGGCGGAAATGAATAATCCGACGGGCAGCGTAACGGTTTTTATTTGAAAAAACGCAAACAGAGAAAAACAATCATAACCTAAAGACGGAGCGCCTCTTATAAAGGCAATCAAATCAACCCCACAGAACACTGTACTTACAAGCTCAGATTAACCCTTTCTCTAAACTAAACAGTGTTACCACTTTACTATCATTATGCTCTGGCCACACAAGTGGCCGCGGAAGCGTTCCGGACTGGGCTACACGCTGAACACGCGGCCGACGTGTTGCTGCCGCGCTTTTCGGTGTGGCAAGACAGGGTTCATATGAACTCGTACATTACAAAAATTCCCGCGCCCGCCTCTATGTGGCCTGAGCAGTATAGTTACTATTATCGTTACAATTATTATTATAATCTAGTTACTATATTGATCGATCGATATTAACTATTAACAATCGTAACGAAACTTACGTTACGCTGAAATTTACTCTTGGAAATGAAAATTATTTATTACGCTGATCGAAAGGGATATGAAAAACTTACACTGGCGGCGATGATCGCTATAATTCCTAAATTACTATGATAATACTATTGGAAATTTTTAAACGAATGCAGCGTTTAAGAAAAGTTGTTGTTATCTATATGCAGGGCTGGGCAGTATTTGAATTACTTGTATTTGAAATACGTATTTAAAATACAAATACGTATTTTGTATTTGTATTTCAATTACTCACTAAAAATGTATTTTGTAATTGGTATTTCAAATACGTGACCGTAATGTATTTTGTAATTTGTATTTCAAATACTTTCGTTGTAAAATACATTTCAACGAAATACTTTTATTTTTCAATGTACAGCCTATTATGTGACGTGCATACATTTATATGATATTGAACTCAATGGTGACGTGACGTGTGTGTGTATAAAACGGAACGTTCCCAAAATTAACCTCTATGGTTATGAAAAACTCTGCATCGTAATGTCAAAGACGTCAAAGTCAGGTTATAATTGTCCCACAATTTTCTATCCACTAAGGGTTATAACGAAATTCACAGGACATTGGCGAAATCGCCATTTTTTTTGTGTAATTTTTATTACCGTACATAGTTATTTTTACTTGACATTGGCAAAATCATTGATTATTTCGATGGGGCCATAACATTTAAAAGAAGAAGAAGGGTTATAACAGTTTTAGATTATAACGGCTTTGTGAATTTGTGATTCGAAACTACACTGGCCCAAGCCTAGTGGCCGCCATTAAGGAAATAGAATAGAATTTGTGATTTTTGGTATCACAAAGTAGAAGTCATATTTTTACAAAACTACCGCATATAGTCATTTTTACTTGACATTGGTGAAGTCATCGTTTAGCATATCTTTACCATAGCTTTTAAAAGAAGAAGAAGAAGAAGAAGAAGAAGTGAACCATCTTTCTAATTTGTGTTGTGAACGTACGTGTTATGAACGGCATTATTCCCATACAAGACGAACACTTTATATAGATACTTGTATTGTATATGAAGTATTCGTCTTGTATGGGAATATTAATAATAATTGTACGTACTACTTGCTCTGTAGTACGATTGGTTTAACATATTTTTTCATACATAGAGAACGATGGAGACCATCTACGTCTACCATCTACGTCTGTGGTGTATCCACTAATTTTCACCGAAAAGTATTTCACAGTTTCTGGTAGCAGTACCGGTAACGCTAATAATAACGACGATCAAGACAACGTCCAAGCGACATGTATACAATGTAAAACTATCATCAAAGGTAGTTTGAAAGCAACAAGCAATTTTAGATTGCATTTAAAGGTAGGCCAGGAAATCCATTACTAATTATTCTTGAAAATAACGTTGTGAGCTATAAATATAATACATTATACTATACTAAGTAAATTATCCTGTACTATGCTTATTATAATCTTATAGTATGTTGTAGTATGTTGAGTTTCTGGACACATGTGCATCTAAAAAAATCAACAATAGACCAATTATAAACCAAAAATGACCTATATTGCTGAAACTTTACTCCTTTTTTTTTTAATTATGTACTTATTCTTTATTGTGTTTTTTAGCGAAAGCACCCTGATATTCTTAGCAAATATGAGGAAGATAAAGTAAAGCAAGGTATAACTGGTAAAAGACAGAAATTGTTAAAAATTGAAGAAACAAATTCAAAATTGAAACAAAAACAACTTGATTTTAAATCACAGTCACAGAAGACTACTCAGAAAAAGCTAGATGACAACATCATTAATTACATTATACAGAGTATGAAACCACTTAGCACAGTGGATGACCCCAATTTTGTGAAAATGTTTTCTGACCTTTCAGAAAATTTACATGTAATGTCTAGACGAACACTAGGATGAAAAATTGAAATGTCCCAAAAAGAACTAACAGAAAAACTAATAAACATTTTGAGTAATTTGGACTATGTATCAACTACTGCAGACATATGGTCAACAAAAACTAGAAGCTTCCTTGGTGTAACTGCACACTGGGTAAAATTTTATTGTTTTACTTAGCTATTTACTTTGGGCAGATTTTTAAATCTTCATTTAAGGTCATATAGTATACACGTATGTAAACACTTTATTATACAACTATAAATATAAAAAAAATAACTTTACAACAACTTAGGTAGAAAAATAGTGTACAAAGATGAGCTTGATCGATTGATTGATTGATTGATTGATTGCTATGATCCCATAAAGGGATTTCTTCCATCTAACCTTTGAACAACTGAGAGGATACAACTATCCTCTCAGTTGTTCAAAGGTTAGTTGGTAGCCAACCCATCTACCAACGTAGATGGGTTGGCAATACTGTATGAAAAAGGAATAAAAAACAAAATAAAAGTGATTGCTACATACTCAATAAACACACAGATAAGTTACTTAAATCATACATACAATTACATAATATAATCAATAATAAATGGTGATACTAATACATATAAACTATAATAAAATAAAACTACAAATAAATATTACACATGTAAATGATTTTTTTTTTTGTATACTATAGGTTCAGAAATAGTCTTTCGGGTATGTAATAAACATGTTAATTGATTTATTTATTTATATTTTATTGCATAAAATATGCTATAATATCTTTTTACAATACTTTTAATTTTATATTTATTTTGGTTTCAGATTGATAAAAATACACTTGAAAGCATGAGTTGTGTATTATCTTTTGATCGCTTCAAAGGGTCACATACGTATGATAAAATTGCTGAGATGCTATTTGAAATACAGTCTTTGTTTAAATTAAAACTTGAACAAGTGGTGTCAACAACTACTGACAATGGGTCAAATTTTGTGAAGGCTTTTAGAGAATTTGGCGTTACTAACTATATACCTGATTTTTCTGATGGTGATGCTGACCTTGCAGGTAAGAAAGAAAACAGCTAATTTATAAAAGTCAGAGTGATTACTCTTCAATTTGGCAAAAATTTTACCACTGAATTCTACCCAAAATTCATTGTTTACTGTAATGTGAACTAATATTATTAATTTGTACCAATTGTACATACCTATGTACTTGATATGTTTTTTTTTTTCAGATACTGCGGAAGTTGTTAGAACTTCTTCGAGTATAGCCTCTGACATTCTAAATGATGAGGTTCTGTTACCTCACAACTCAATTGAGGAAATAACAACGAGGGAATTATATTTACCCAGGGAATTATATGTGCTAGCCACACATTAAGTCTTTTGGCCACTACAGACATGAATAATTACATAAAAGAATCTCCCATTAGCAGGGTTCATTACTCAGCAATAGCAAAATGTACTTTGCTCTGGAATATGTCCAGAAGGCCCAAGTCTGCAGAAATAATACAAGAATGTCTTGGGAATCAATTGATATATCCTTGTCCTACAAGGTGGAATTCGCTGTATGATTCAATTGTCCAACTTATGAAAACAAAATCAAAATTAAATGATTTATTTGATAAGTTGGGGAAGACCAACGCTTTCTCGGCTATAGAACTGGAATACCTTGAAGAATTTATAGAGGTACTTAAACCGATTGCAACAGCTTTAGATTACATTCAGGGCAATAATTGTTATTATGGTAAACTTCTGCCTAGCTTAATGTCTGTAAGAACTAGATTAGAAAGGTTACAGGGCAACAATTTAAGACATTTTTCTGGAGTTGTATCTAAATTGAAAGACAGCTTAGAAAAGAGGTTTGATTTGATAACTTTTTAAACTATTTCCCGAAGTTAATGAAGCCATATTGGCATCCTGCTATTACCCTGCCTATAATGCGTTGGCTGCCAGAATCTACCACGTCCGAAGAAAAGCAAAGGATACAAAATCTTGCCATTTACTCTTTAGAGGCTAATTTTAAAAAGCATGAAGAGGGAAGTAGAAGAAGCAGAAATACAAGTAAAGGAGATGATGATTTTATTATTTTTATAAATAGTGACAGTGATCGGCCACAAACATCAAAAATGGAATTAGAGCTAGTGAGCTTTCTAAATGAAAAAAGTAAAGAGCTAACTATTCTTGAACATTACCCAAACATAAAACAAGTTTTCATAAAATTTAATACAAGTCTGTGTTCTTCCGGACCAGTAGAGAGATTATTCTCTTTAGCAGGGTTTATACATTCTCCGACGAGAGGATATTTATCTGATAGCACTTTCAAAAGACTAGTTTTCTTGAAAGGGAATTCTTTTTTTTTTAATTAAAAACTACCTTTTTGATACAGTTGCTCAAAACGTGGTATTGGTCGTACTACAAATCGTGCCGAAAGCTGGATTTGTCGCACTAGTACCTTTTACTTTTATTTTTTTTTTAATTTGCTGTTGTTTCAAGTCTTAAACATAGGACTAATGAGGTTGTATATTTATTAATATTTATGTGCTTTGTGACGTAAATCATTCGTCATTAAAACTTATATTTACATACAAAACTGTATTAAAAATAACTATTTCACTTCTCATGCTCTTAAAGCTCGTATCTATATGCTGGGTGTAGGCTGCATAAAATAAGGAAAAACCCATCACATTAAATATGTTTAATTGTTGCAGTTTTACATTCAATTTTAATTAAATTATCGTTTATTTGTAATATTGCTGTTTAATTTCCTCGCAATCGAAGTGAAAAGCAGAGTGTATAACTCGTTCATAAAACCCATTTTACCCTCGACTTAAGTATCCACCCTCGTCTGCGGCTCAGGTATCCACCTGAGATCCACATCATACTCGTCTCGGGTGAAACGACGCGTTTTATGCACTTGTTTTGTTGTACAATCTACTATATTTTCACTACAGCCCTCTTACCATAGCTACGCATGATAATCGCGACGCCTGCGGTAAAATTAAAATAAGTGCGTGCTATTGGCTATCTGAATTAGATCCAATTGAGATCGCCAAGAGCGCTCACTCAACACACAAGCACCACACACACCCACGCTTTGTACACTTATGCTCCGGCCACACAGAGGCAGTCGCGGAAACGCCGCCGCCGGCCGCGCGTTGCAGTGTGGCAGGGCTCATATGAACTCGTACATTACAAAAATGCCCGCGCCCGGAACGCTTCCGCGGCCGCCTCTGTGTTGCCTGAGCATAAATATCGTATATTTTTTATTTCTTTACACCTGTAAACATTGTTAATTGTATTTCTGTAAAAATAATAATTTAAAACTTATTTTTCAAGATATGTATTGTGGAAGGAAATTGTTGGTTTCCGCATGTCGCGACAGGACAGGTATATTAAAAAAGTATTTTGTAATTTGTATTTGTATTTTGTATTTTAAATACACCCCATGAAAGTATTTTGTATTTTGTATTTCAAATACACCTCAAGAAAGTATTTGGTATTTCGTATTTTAAATACATATAAGGAAGTATTTTGTAATTTGTATTTCAATTAAGACGTAGCATGTATTTTGCCCAGCCCTGTCTATATGCCTATCAACAAAACAAAGCTTGTATTATAGAAACTACCTAGATTTTAACTTAGAAGTTTAAATTATAACATTCTAGTTGGTCAAAGTCAAAAGTCATTTATTCCATTAGTGAAATATTATTATATTACACTTGAAAACGCCATTTTATAAGTTACTTTGAATGTAAGTTTTATACTTAGGAAATGATAATCTTAACAAATACTCCGGAATCATATTGTAATAAAATCATATACCTACAGTTCCCCATAAAAGAATCGTTAACTTTAATGATCTAGTACATACAAACTTAAGCAAACCAGAATCTGTATTTCAGGTGCGATTGGGTAACCAAGATTGTCTGATTTCACTCATCTGCTATGCTAGGTTAAATTAATTTTTTGACCAAATCTTCCATGTCGTACGGATCTTGTAGGTCTTCAACCTCTGAAGCAATTGAGTATGATATTCATCATTGATATATTTTGATAAAGATCAAAATTCTCAAATGGTTTCATCGTAATCTTGTAATTTTTTCGACGATTATTATGTACTCAAGCGCAACCAGGTAAATACAGATTTTGACAACACTCGAGACAAGATTTTACAGTCGAGTACCGTTTAGGAAACAGTAAAACTGAAGAGAACCTCAAGCATTGTTCTAAAATTATGACCCAAGCTGTCACTTCCTCTGACATTACTCAGGTGAACACCGATTACAGATTCTACGCTTGAGTAATGTTCTGGAATAAAAACTCCGCTTGAAATCATACTCAAGTCCTGACTTGAGCATTGAGTAGAATTCTGGAATACGACCTTAGTCGTCAACGATATTATATACAAATGCCCTCTAGTGGCAGGCTGATGTATTTAACTATACTGTTTAAGAACGAGCAACAGCCCTACACCGGCTGTTGTTACTAGATGGAGCCGCTAACACTAAACAGTAATTTAAACATGTATAATAGGAAGTGTATATGTACTGGCAGAATACCAAATGATGCCAAGAAATTCAGGCAGATGTGCTTATTTGATTCTTGATACTTTCTTTTGTCATTATATTTATTAGTCTTTACATTCATGTTGATATCTTCATTTATTATGGTAGGTATTGTTGTTGTTCAATTGAAAAACACATTACAAAATTGTATTTATTTAATTTAAAAAGTTTGCTATAACGCTTCCAACACGGAGGATGATATAAGCTTAACGATTTGTATCATGATCAGTGTTAGAGATAGTTAGCATGTAACAAAGAGGGTTCAACCACGGATACGTTAAATCTTTTAATCATGTTTATTACTACCTTCCACTCCGTTTTCCCTGGCCTGCGCGACATCCTTGGATTCTGATTCTGGGTATGTATAGGTAGATAATTTATGCTACAGAGGTCAAAAGAAATTTTATAGAAATAATTAGCACTGCTTTTGATAGTATGAAGAAGAAATGCGCCATGGATCAGCGTCGAACAAGAAAAAGATTACTTGTTATAATTCACAAACTAGTGGAGTAATCCTTTTCTTGTTCGATCTTTGTATTAATAATTATATTAATACAAAGATCGAACAAGACTGATGACTGTGGAATCGAATCGATCCGGCCGCATTCGTACCGACGTCTTCTGACAAACCAGCGGACCTCACGAATTTTTCCATGCGCTTGTTGCTTTGCATTTGGTTTTTCAACGACTTTTTAGCCGTAGCGCCATCTATGAGAAATCTATGAAAGTATTTCGTCACCCAGCTAGGTAACTTTGCAACTACCAGCCCTGGCTAGAGATGTCGCTATTAACTGTATTTTAAAGTTATATTGAATTTCAATACTATTTGAATTCAATACAAATTTAAAGAAAAAGATTAATATTAAAAAACTAGAACACAAAACGCGTTTATTATTATCCCTTATTTTAACCACTTAATTCACAACTTTTTCTTTATACATTTAGAAGTTGACACTTTTATTACTGTAACTTGTATAACTCAAAAAATAGTTTAAAGAATCATTCAGGTCGTTCTTAATGCTCACAAGTATTTTTTTTTTTTTGAGAATGTATGTTTGAAATTATGATTTATTTAGAATGGCAGTACACTCTGATTACAAACCAATAGGCAAATGGAGCCGCGGACTTCTATATTAAACTGGACCGCGCAGTAAGTTAACAAAACGAGCCGAGTGAGAGGCTTCAAAGTAGTTATGCGTCTCTTTCTAATAGGGTGTTCATTAATTTTTCAGCCAGCCATATTATTTTTAACTTTTTAGTTTGTACAGAAAATGTGGCCGCTTATGGATGATCAAAACTACTAATATTATTCCACAAATTAGTTTACTTATTTGTTAAGCTACTTTATATAGAACGTTTCATTGTTGATAACAATTTTTTTCTGTATTATTATAGTAAAAGCATGTTACCTAAGCAAATATTTATATCCAAAATTTAAAAAATTAATACACTAGACCTTAGAATAATAACGCACTAGACACTATTTTGGAAAGGACAAAACCCGTCATTTTTTCTTAAAAAAAAACTTTAACGAGCTATGGTAACGTTGATTATAAGGCACAAATAATCCGCTATAAAAAAATTCCATCCTCTAAGGCTATAAACTGAGAAAGTGCATTAAGGCAGTACGACAAAACATGTTTCCTAGGGTCGTATTCTAGAACTCTACTGAATGCTCAAGTCAGGATTTGAGTGTGGTTTAAAGACTCGAAATCATACACAAGTCCCTGCCATTAGGGTCGTATTTCCAGTGCTTGAAATCATACTCAGATCCTGACTTGAGCATTGAGTAGAGTTCTGGAATACGACCCTTTACTTTGTTTATGACGACACTACCTCTAAAAGATTTTATTTATCGTTGGTAAATTATTAGACAAGGACAGACCACTACTTCGAGCTATTTCACGCAGCTCGGTTTTTTACTTTTACTTAAAATAAACCTTAACATAACCAAATAAGGTGTAAATTTGGTATATCGAAGCGAGGGATCCAGTTTATGAAGTATATAAATCCGTGGATGGAGCCTACGTTCAAGTCACGACGTTTTTCATTGACTGTGTGCGTGACCACTAGGAAGAGCACTGTAAGGTTACGCGCATTTGTGTGCATGTTAGATGCAGCGAAAAAAACTCCCGCAAATAATTGAATAGTACGGTGGTGAGGTGAAACAATCTTACATCCAATAAAATATTTAATTATTACATAATTGCTAAATCTTCGCAACCCTTCATAGCTACTAATATAACCGACCACTCGCATAGCTGCTTATTTATTCTATTCCGGTCCTTGTTCTTTTGTCTCCTTAGTTAATTGTTAACTCGTTACCGTTCGCATTTTTCTCTACCTTATGCTTCGAAAATGATTTAGTGGCACTAGAGCTCCTTGTGAAAGAGTTCGTCCAGCGAAATACTGCCACCTTACCTATTTCCGCCGCCAAGCAGTAATGTGAGCATTACTGCGTTCCGGTTTCTGGTGAAATTACAGGCACATGGGACTTGCCAACGTGGCTCAGGGTGACTGGCGCAGTGGCAGTGCCACTCAGATCTCTGTGATTTAAAGCTCTGAGTGGCACTGCGACTGTTATGGGCAGGCGTGTCGCTTACCACCAGGCTCGCGACTTGTTCGTCTCCTCTCTTAGTATCATAAAATAAAATAAAAACATTGCAATTATGAAATTACAAAAATTGTGATGCGTTGGCACCTGTAGCATACGCTACTACTGCACGCTCAACAATTACCTCGCGGTGTATACGAATTTGCTTCAGATGTCTGCGGTCTATTCTACTCTACGGGCGTCACGTAGACTTCTTCAGTGTTGTTTCGGCGCTAGAGCATTTTTCAAGTCCTCCGTTGTATACAAGGTGGCGGGAGCCGGTGGTATCGAGTACGTAATTTTTATATTCCACTTTATTGTTGTATGTACATACGAAGCGCGACATTGCGCGGAAAGTGCCGATCTCGACATGTTGAACGTTAACCGTATACAATTTATAGTCCATTTACACCACAAAGGATTTCATAGTTTGCCGACATTAAAACGCAGGATTAATCATTAGTTTTTTTTTAAATAATAATAAATCCACGGCTGGACGTCGCGTGGAAAATTACAATTATAGTATATTTGGTACAAAAGTCACAACATAAGTATACGATAAATAGGTAAAATATCAACAGACTCTTATTTACAAACAATGTACAAGACAATCAACAACGGCGGGGGCCGGGCGGGGGCCGGGCGGGGGCCGGGCGGGGCTCAGGGCAGCGGCTCGACGTAGTTCTCGGGCACGAGGCCGGTGCGGCCGTTGAGCGTGCCGCGCAGCCAGCCGGGCTCGGGCGACGGCGCCACGTTGGTGATGATCTGGTTGGGCTCGAACGACAGCTCGCCCTCGCTCTCGCCCAGGCAGGCGTACAGCGTGCGCACGCGCGCGCACCGCAGCGGCGCCGCGCGCGCCTGCAGCACCAGCGGCGGCGACGCGCCGTGCGAGTTGTGCGACGACACCGACTCGGCCGACGAGCTGCTGGACGGCGGCGCGCGCGGCGGCGCCCGCAGCAGCGCGTGCGCCAGCGGCAGCGGCGCGTACGGCGGCGCCGGCGCCGGCGCCCCGGCCGGGCACACCAGCTGCTGCAGCAGCTGCTGGTGGTGCGGCGAGAAGCGCGCGGCCGCGCCGCCGGCCACCTGCAGGCCCGCCGCGTCGGGGCGCGCCTCGCCGGGCGCGGTCGCGGGGGAGGCCCTGCAAACGACCACGCGACCCTGTACTCGCTGCTCTCGGCGCGGTTGCTATTCTTTCTTCGTGTTCAAAATTTACGTCAATATTTTCGTAATTGTAATGCGAGTGTCGCGCTAGTACTTCGGCCGAAAATAGGTACTCGAACGAGCGATGAACGTTTGATCACAATTTGTATTGCACTGAACTTCGATCGTCAGCATCGTTCGGTGACGTAGCCCGAAACGGATAGCGACGCATACGCGGCTCCGAGACGCAGTTGTCCGCGTTGCCGTTCTCTGCGCGCACTCGGCCCCGTGTTATCGAACGTCGCGCAAATACTGACGCGCGAGGAAAAGAGCGAGACACCAACCCGGCGATCACGAATCCGGAAAGGCAGATGATCATGGCGAACGAAAGGCTGGCGATGGCGGCTACGCCACACCGTCAGCTCGGGGGCAGCGTTTGCGTCGGAATGGGTGCGAGCGGAGACGCGGCCGACTTATAGCGGCGAGCCCCGCGGCAGCTGCGCTCGCGCCGCACACGTGTGCGAGTGCGCACCTGCCGCGAGCACCTGGCGAGCGCCTCGCCGCTTACCGCCCGCAGGTAGAGATGCGCCCCTCCACTTGCCCCTCGCTTTATCTCCGCCGCGTGCGCAGCGTGCGACCTTACCGCCAACGCCTTAAGATCCTCGGTGCGCTGCCCGGCAGCTGCAGACTCGCTCCGATCGCAAAACAGTTGTAGAAATAAATAAAACGACGAATCCCTTAACGGTTCTAGCCGAACAAATGTCTGTTCAAACCTTTTCTCCCGGTGCTCGTATAAACGGGGACTAAAACTAAAGGAATGAACACATTGCAGCACTGGCCAAATTGTTTTAACATCCCCAGGATTATACGGACAGGCTTCTTTACGTAATTACTAATTATAATAGATTCTCCATTTCTAGTTATATCAGTTTCTTTAGGATATGTATAATTTCCTAAGTTGCATTACATTTATTTTTAACATTTAAAATGTAGTATATAGAAGTACATATAATTATTTTGTGAGCGTTGAGCCTCGTACATACATTTCTTTAGCCTTTTAGAGTATAGTTTATGAAAAGTTCATAAACAGTATAGTGTATTTTTTTCCTGCGGCACAATTTAATGCCTCGCCAAAACCAGAAATGTAACGAATTAAACATATTATTAGGAGTTCTTAGGTTTTCGCGATTGTTACACATAAGAAATGAAACTATTTTTCCGGATTTAACGAAACGTCGGTTTGTTTGAAAAAATCAAATATACGCGATTTAAATCCGGAAAAATAGTTTCATTTCCTATATTATTACGAGTTCAGCTAAATAGTTAAGCTAAGTCGAACCGTAAACCGTTTAAATATTTTCTAAATTTAATAATTGCGTTTTGACAAATTGTGCATCGAATTGAGATTTTTTTGTATTTGGCTGTAAAGCGACGGCACCTGGTTGATTTTTATTTTGTAGGAAAATGGCACGGGCCGACATTGTGAAGAGCCTGACACTCGCAAAACCGTAAGCTCAGGCGGCCTAATACATATTATTTTGATTCATATTGCTTATTTATTTGGGATATAATTTGAAAAAACAAATATACGCGATTTAAATCCGGAAAAATAGTTTCAATTTCTATTTATCAAATATTGTCATCTCAAATGTCGGACCTGTATGAGGATAAGCGTAATGGGCTACTTTTATTATATAAGCACTGATTGCAATAGAGCGCGTTCACGGTTAGCACCGATGCGGCATGGCATCGGCAGGTGCGCGCGCGCAGCTGTGACCGCATTCTTATCTGCGCCGTCGTCGCCGACGCGACGATGCAAGCTCCTGCGAGATCCCTCGGCGTCTATCGCGGGCCGGCCCGAGTCGGGCACGTACCCCATTGAACACGAACGCGACCACCGACAATAGCCTCTGCGCGCGCGCGGAACAAAGGCGCACTGTCATAATTGCAGCAGGCAAAGCACTTGTACGAGTCGGCAGTGCCCGAACAGGAACATAATTATATTGTAACAATCACTCGAACTGGACCTCAACAACGAACTGTCGCGCGTTGACGTTTTTTACAATTATTTTTATTTTTCAATACAAATAACCCCGCACGAAGAGTTGTACTTTCGTCTGTCCAAACCGACAAATAAAAAAGTAACAACTTTGTTAAATTATTATAATTGTTGTACTTACTTTACGACCGATTTTCGGTATTTTAATATTCTACTTATCAAAAATTCGTCATTTTTCGTAGTCATTATTTGCTGATAGTTCGGATACGTTAAGATGCGGGGGTGCGGGTGGAGGAGTGCGTGAGTTGTAAGGATTCTTAGGTGTTATTATTATCTACAGGATATACATATATAGGAATCTGTCGCCGTCTCCTCGCGCACGAGCGGCAACGGGAGAGGCGTAGGCGCGGTGTCCACTGCGGCGCGGCCGAGATACACTGACGTCACTTGCAGCGGCGGGCGAACGGTGGATAGCGCCTGCATCGGGGCTGTCGTCTGGCGTGCCCAACGGCGGCGGTCGACCGACCGGTCCTGCGGGGCGGGCGCGACATTCTTGTCGCGAAAACTGATCGCACGTCAGGTGCTTCCCGCTCCGCGGCCATTTGTTTCGACTACACGCATCGAACGGCGCACTGCTAAACACGGATCTACCTACGGAGAGTGTTTAGGCAGTACCAAGGGTTAATAATAAAATTGACGTTCTTTATTTGCATAATGATTGCATTGGAAATGTAATTATTCTTTCGGATCTAGATCGCGTTACATTCTTTTTCAAGTCGGTCAGAGATTTTTACGGGTCCCGTGGGTCACGGTAAGGTCATCAACCGGTTATGTGTAATATAAATTCGAACCACCCTATTTTCAATATACTTAGAAAATTCATTAATTTTATTGATAACTTACCGTAGAACATTCCAGTTTACACTACATACACTTTGCAAAGTATTTTATTTAAACAACATTCCGCACACGAAAGCAAATACTGTCGTAACTCAAGGTTGTGGAATTGAGAGAACACGATTGGAAAATGAAAAAAAAAAACAATGAAGAAACCAATACACAGTGTTATTTGTAATTGGGACAGTATAGAGAAAACCGAAATTATACGATACAGGAAAGCTGTCTTAGGACACATAAGTTTTTTTGTGAATACAATTTTTGGCAGTTAATTTTTTGGTCAAGCGTGTGTTGTCCATAATAGTGAATAATTATTATTTTTGAGTACCGATCGACTCAGTTTCATGTAAGTATCATTTTACTCATAAAATGTTAAAATGACATTTGTAGGGTTGCCAGTTTTCATAAAATTTTAAATAGTTATGAAGTTGTTGTCGATAGTTTTATCGATAGATTGTGAAAGATGATAGTGTTTTGCCAAAATGTTACGACATTCTAATGATTACTGATTGTGTTACTGCCTTCTTTATTTTTATTTTGACAGTTGGCTTGCTAGTATCGAAATCAATTTTTATTCTTATACTTTTTTAACAAGAACAGCCGGATTATCTATGTTGAGTTAAAGTGAAAAATTTTAAAATATATCTCCTCTTTGTATTTTTCATAAACATTTCTAAATACAGTGTATGTACCTATGTATGAAGTTACAAAAAGTGACAATTCAAATGAACCTGTGCCCAGCAGTTGGACGATTAATGGGCCGATGATGATTCAAATGAAACAACTATTTATTGCATAAGACTGACTGACCAACATTCAGTCGACAGTGGATAGAATACTTATCGCCTGCAATCAATCACTAGCTGCTCGCAAGCGGGCAACAGTTTTTCGCAACGAACTGTCATTCTACTCCGTCTTCAAAAAAAGACCATAACAATTCATTTTATTTTGGGACAAATATCAATATTGTGTAAATTCGGTAATCCTTATAAACTTCTTCTTAGAGTGCCTCCCCAATCCTGAAGGTTTGCCGACAGCTTCTTGTATTTGTCTCCATCAGCAGCCAACCGGACTCCCGGGCGTTCCGCAGCCACGATTTCTTCCTTCGCCCAGCAAGCTACGCGCTTTTTTTGTTGCACTTTGTCCATCATTATCAGCTGTAGCAGCGTGTATCTATCGTTTCTGATCACGTGTCCATGATCCTCTATTTTGCGCCTTTTGACAGATGGCATCATTTTCCGGGACGTATAAACGTCCTGAAGCACGGTTTCGTTCGTGACCCTGTCCAACCAATCAAATGCCTGCAGGCGTCTTGTAGTGTGTCTTCTTTTGAGGTCCACTTTTCGCAGATGTACATGACGATAGGCCAGATGGGGGATACAAGTAGCTTTATGTTCTGTTGACGACAGCACAAAACTTTCCTCATTTGTTAAAAATTTATTAAATTCATTAGTCAAACGAAATTAGAAAAAACTATTATAAGTATGCAGCACTACTTGTGTACTGAGGAAATATTGGAGGTAAGGATAAACTATTATTCCCGTCGAAATTAGGATTTTTTTAAATTCAATGAATCACCTGTCATAACATCCTGGGTAGATAATGGCCTGGAATGGAAAACGGTTCGTCGAACTTAATTGGATGTGTGGGTTTTGGCAGGACATGTTCGCAGACTTTTTAATTTAATTTTTAAATTCCGCGACGGTATAGATCCGAAACATCCTTTTCAATGTGCAACTGTCGCGAAAACCTAATAACTGGGTAATGATGCATTTCAAAGGATTTGTGAACGTGTTATCGTTTAGATAACCGGGTAAGCGGCCACTTTTATCTATGAATTACTATTTCAGATTTTTTCTCTTAAAAAAGCTAAAAGCTTTTTTCTCTAAAAGCAAAGAAATGTTGCGAACGCCAAATATCGACTGTGTGACTGAACTTTTTGCAAGACCCTATTCTCCTATTTGGTGTAATGTAAAAACAGAAGTTTACTTTGCGTGGGAGGATGCGTCTGCGTACTGCTGTGTAGCAAAAATTCGAAAGCGATATTGAGTGAACGTCATTCCGCCAGGTTCTCGTATCAGAAAGTTGAAGGTATGTACATACAAACCACATGTCCCCTGAAACAACTTCATACAATGACAAGTCTATGTACCAATATACATGTGCATCATATCAGGCATATAATATAAATACATAGGACATTAGAGTCCGGAAGCGTATTTTGAACAATATTTACCTGCTCTCGTATGCGTCACAGTTTAAAATAGAAAAGGCACTTCTCGGTGATCCGGTTTCCTCGTGGAAGGCACGGAAGTTAGTAGAATAGCAGCACAATTTTAAAGTGCGAACTGGGAGATAACGCGATCGGTCAGTATTTCCAGCTGGTATTCCCGTTTCCTTACTTGTAATTGGCTCGTACCTGAGCAGGCCGTTGTGGGCGGGGCCGGCGGAGGGCTGCGGCGCGGGGGGCGGCAGCGGCGCCTCGAAGATGTCGCGGTAGTGCTCCAGCATGGTCTCCACCAGCACGTTGCAGAACTTGAGCTCGAGGATGGAGGCCACCGTGTCGGTGTCGGCGCGCAGCAGCGTCGGGCCCCAGCACACCGCCAGGTTGGACGCGGACATGAGGTTCTTGTCGCTGCGCGCCGCCACGCTGCAAGCACGCGGCGTGAGCGGCGGCGGCGCGGGCCCGGCGGGGGCGGGGCCGGCGCGGCCGCGACTCACTTGCGCAGGTGCTGCAGCACCAGCGTCAGCATGTCGTAGTTGGGCTGCGGCAGCGCGCGCACCAGCGCGTGCAGCGCCGCCACGCGCTCCTCGCGGCTCTCGCACTCTGCAACGAGAGGCGGGTGAGGCGGGGGCGGGGCGGGGCCGGCGGGGCGGGCGGCGGACGGTGCACCCACTGGCGGCCTGGATGAGCTGGCGGTGCAGGCGGCGCGTGAGCAGGCGGTCGGGCAGCGCGCGCAGGTAGCTCTTGAGCGCCGACGTGAGCGTGCGCGACTCCCACTCGGTGGGGTCGTGCAGGCGCGCGGGCGGCGGCAGGCGGCGCGGGTCGGCGGCCGCGGCCACGAGGCGCGCCACCTTGGAGGCCACGCCGGCCACGCGGTACAG